AGGTCGTTCTGCAGCTGCAGGAGCTGAAGTTGGGGCTGATGGGCGGGGAGGTGGAGGCCGAGCAGCTTGTTGTCGTGTGGCGGTGTTGCGAGAGCAGGCTGAAATGTGTTTGGCGAGAGAACCTGGGTTGGAGAAGGTACGTTTGCATGTAGGGCATGTTGGAGGACTTGGCGGGTTGTTGGGGGCTGATGAGGGCAGAGGAATTTGCGGGTTTGGCTGTGAAGGGTGAGGGTTGGGGAGAGGAGGAGGAGGGTGGTTATGAGAAGGAGAAGCATCGGTTTCGTAGTGTGACAGTGGGTGCGAGTCGTCGGCAAGGGCTGTGGGATCAGCAGTATCGGTCGTGGCAATGGGAGGATGATCCCGTGATGGCAAGGAGTTAGGGCGAGAGGTTTGAGGCTGAGATGAAGACGGGGAATTAGAAAGGGTGTCTTTTAGAACCTGCTGGAGATCCTCCTTCTGTTTCTTCGAAACAATTTTCGGCGCAGACGTTGGCTGAGGTTGCTGGGGGGGGGCAGAAGATGGTTGAGGCTGAGGAGTAGAGGGTGGCACGGGATTCGATGGGGGAGTCGAAAGTTTCTCAGAGGCTGGATTCTGTCGCGAACGTGCTGGAGGGCGAGGTGAAAGGGGTTCGGAGTCCTGGGCACCACGGCCCCTTTTGCGGCTCGTCATTTTCCCAGGTAAAGGGCTGGTGGCTGATGGAATGAATTTGGAAAATGGGGAAGCATAAGAAGGCTGCCGGAAATGTAACTCTTAGTTGGTGTAGCGTAAGGGGTCTCGGAAATAGGGAATTGGGGATGCAGATGGGGCTGACACAAGCGAGTATGGGAACGTGGTGATGTGGCGGGAAATTCGGGTGGCGGCGCAGGTTGCGAAGAGGGGTCGGCGCGAAACAGCTGGTCGTGCCACGGTGGGAGAAAATTCGTGTTGACGACGTGCTGAGATCTGCTGATCGAACCTGAGGTCAAACCACGCCGGTGCCGCCGTATTTGCTGTACGTGGCTGAAACTAGCGAGACTGCTACGCGACCCTACTACGTAACAACGTGAAGTAGGAGCGGCACTGAAATGGCGCGATCCTGATTTCGTCCAGTTGGTCGCGCGAATGTTGCTCAAAGTTTTTGCCTGTGGGAAGGAAGTCGCGACGTGCACGAAGGGGTATAAGAGTAGGTGCTAAGTTTCCGATTTCGCCCCTAAGCGTAGAGTAGTGAGTTTAGCTGCTTTGCTCGAGTGAGCAGCTTGACGAACTATCAAACTAGAAGCGTTCTAGCGCTTTTTATAGCTGCTGCAGCGAGGTGGAGTGAGAGCGAGGCAAACTATCAAACTTGAAGCGTTCTAGCGCTTTTTATAGCTGCTCCAGCGAGGTGGAGTGAGAGCGAGGCAATCCATCAAACTAGAAGTGTTCTAGCGCTTTTTATAGCTGCTGCAGCGAGGTGGAGTGAGAGCGAGGTGGAAGCGTTCTTCCAGTGTGGCAGGTCCAGTTTCCGCAGGATTGGAGGTCGAAGTGGTTGGAACAGTGCGCAGACGCAGGAGTCCGTCGGAGGCGAGTCGCTCAAGGTCCATTTCCGTAGGATGGGAGCACGTCGGTGGTTCTGTGGGAGTTGTCTTCAACAACAGTGTGCGGTCAGAGTCGCCAGTGGAACCTTGAGCTGAGAACTGCAGTACGAAGACGCCGTCTTCGTCTATCGCCTTGCCGATGTAAGTCTCGTTGTTGTAGAACAACTCGAAGGTTTTATCCTTGCGGTTGCTGCGAATGTCAACTCCGCACCGCATGAGTTGCACCGAGGAGCGCAAGTTATACTGCAGATCTGGAGCGACGAGGACGTCTCCGATGTGAATGGTGAACTTCATGTCATCGGCTTCAAGGTAAATTTCACCAATATCGTATGCCTTCATCTTGCCGTTGTTGGCGACGGTGATCTCGCATGGTCGTCGCATGCGCCGTAAGTTGCTGATGAACGCCGGGGATCCCACCATGTGTTGTCCGCAGCAGCTGTCAAGGTACCAGGTGTTGATGCGCTCATGGCTCTGGCGCGCGATGTTGGCGATTCTTGGCGTGACAACGGGGTCAAAGTCGCCGGTGTACGGTGAGAGAGCGAAGTACCTGTTTGTGGAGATGCTGGGAGGAGATTCCGGGATTGGCGGAGGCAACTCGAAATCAGGTGGGATGTTAGATGGGCGATCGATCCAGGGGTAAAGGGTGGGATCGTTGTTTGGACTTGGCATAATAGGGTTGATCGGCGCGATAGGCGATGACGTTGTCGTAGTATCGGCCACCTCTACGACGACGCGCCATGCAGCTCATGATTGTTCCCTTGCCTTTGTCTTTCATCGTGATGTGAGTAGGAGTCTGAGAGGTGCTGGCGATGGAGGGAGGTGATATAGTGGAGCTCACGGTAGGAGGCGTTGACTGTGCTGGAGGTTGCTGACCGGAGGAATTGCGCCTCTCGTCAGCTGCCTTTCGCTTGTAGCACTGATCGATGGAGTGGCCGGGCTTCCTGCAGTATTTGCAGAACGTTCCCTTCTTTCCACGATGCTCCCCTTGAGACCCTCTGGCGTAGAGGACTAACTTTTCCCGTTTGACGTTCTTCTCATTGTACAGGTCAATCTCCTTTTGCTCGGAAAGGAGTGTGGCGCACAGAGCAGACTCCGAAATCGTTGCTCGAGCGCGAAAGAATGACAGACATTGTCGCCAGTCAGGGCCGATGCCTGAGATGACCATGGACATAAACATGTCGTCGGGGACAGTTTCACCTCACTTCTTTACGTGGTCGCGCAAATTGCGGCACCGGTTAACATACGGTCCCGCTTTCTCCCCTTGTTTCATTTTTAACGAAGTCACATGACAAAGCAGGCGACTCATTGTGACTGGATCTGTTGCCAGGATGCTTGTGCGGGAGCCTACTCTGTCTTCTAGGGATGAATGCGGAGCTGTTCTTTGGAAGAGAGATTTCGAAGGAGAGCGGTGTACGCGAGGAGGGATTCGTGGTAGTATTGATGCTTCTCCTGGATGGTTCTTTCCGAAGGAAAATGTAAGCTCCTGTCGTAGTACATCCAGATCTGAGCGGTTGTTGCGAGAAGCTCGAATTCAAAGCTCCACGTGTAGAAATCCTTGCCGTCAAAAGGAATTGAGGTCTTCTGTTTTGAAGTTAGAACAATCTTGGTTTGCATGGTAGCAATTGCTTCTGACTGCGCTCGTTGTGGATTGTCTTGCGCAGGAGCTGAACCTTGACGGTTGTCAAAGGTGAAAGACCTCTCGGAGTTGACGCGTCGGTCTTCTCCAGGGAGGGGGAATCCATCAACTCCTCTTGCATAGCTTGAGCCGTCGATGCTCATGGCTTGATGGCTATTAAGAGTGTTGATGCAAGCTACTAGTTGCTCGACGACAGCGGCGCTGACGGAGGTCACCGCTGATGGCGCATTAGTCGTTGCTGGTGGTGGCCTGGTGAGTCTGCAGTGGCTTTCCCTTCGGGAGCCATGATGATGCAGACCTTGTGATGTATTGAATAAGATTATAAGAAATTTGTTCTAAGCAGAACAAATATTTTGCAGAACTTATAATCTACTCTAGCTCTGATACCATGCTGATATATCCGAAGGATCGAGTGAATAGGATGAATCTTAGGAGGAGACAATAGAGTCTCTGTGATGACCTTGTTGTACAATGGTTGAAAGAGAACAAGATGATTATAAGGTAAGATTACAAGATATTAAATAGCAAACTAGCTAGCCATATACTCTCAGGGGTACATTCCCTTATTAACTGTATTACATAACTACAGTAACCGCGACTATTCCGATTCTCGACAGTTACCATGTTGCAGCGAACAACTGTCGCACGTTTACTGGCTGGTCAAGGGTCACGACCGTTGACTACCCTCGACGGTTGACCTTCGGGTGACCCTCGACCTTCCGCATGCTCTATATGAGCTATTGCGAAACTGGTACAGTGCCTGGTTCTGACAACAACTGATGCGTTAGTGGGATGCCTTCGGGAATGCTTTCAATGACCTTTTCAGTTATTCCAACAAATGGCAACAAGCGTAACCGTACGCATGGTTAAATTCAGCGACTCGGTAACAAGACGAAGTGCAATCGTCAGAGTCACTATAGAATTGGCCTGTAAAACGGTTAAAATTGAGGGAATGTACCCCTTAGAGTACGTAGCTAGTTAGGACTATTATTTCTGACACTTCGTCTCCAGCTCCGATACTGTGTGCTGCATTTGCTGCTGTCAGGAGTGCGCAGTGTCCTTTCTTAATTTACCATTCGTAACACGGCAAACTTTAATAAAAATGATGCAATTAAAAAAATTATAAATTTTAAACACACATAGTGTTTTCCAAAATTGTGTATTATACTCCACAATTGGCATCGTCTAAGCATGCAAAACGCCCTTCTCCAACTACAAAAACCGTGGGTTGGAGTTCATTTCCCTCCACCCACGTTTCTCGACTTTCAAACGGCTCACTCAACATTCCCACCACCCATCCCAGCAAAAACCGCATTGCTAATGCCACTTGGACAGGGTACATCTTAGCTAGTGTTATTAGTATGCACTAGATTGTGCTCAATGCAGGTTCAAATGTTGTAATAAGCCATTTGTAATGAGAACGATGCCAATTGATACGAATAAGAAAGCAAGCTTTCTCAATTTACCAAACAATGAAGAAAGTGAGGAAATATATGGTGGAAACTAGTTAGGCGAGAACAGGTTTGGAAGTGTCTCAATTGGTGTGGGGCGACTCGGAGCTGGTTAGGGGCGAAAGTGTAGGCCGAACCTGAACTGACGCGAAGAGTTTGGGCTGTCCTTGCTACGAGCAGCCTCGACAGTAATGAATTGTAATTCATTACATCATATGTTATGAGTTTTACTAGATAGAGAGCGCGGAAGACTTCTATAAAGAGAATGAATTACAAAATGACCGTGCCATCGACTTGTAAAGGTCGGGATTCAGCTGGAACATCAGCACTGGTAAGTGAGGCATCCCCCATTGCTGATACTTACGCTGGCCTACACATGTCTGCTGCTGCCCCACTCGTGTCTGCTGCTGCCCCACTCGTGTCTGCTGCCCCATTTGCGTCTGCTGCCCCACTCGTGTCTGCTGCCCCACTCGTGTCTGCTATCCCACTCGTGTCTGCTGCCCCACTCGTATCTTCTGCCCCACTCGTGTCTGCTGCCCCACTCGTGTCTGCTGCCCCACTCGTGTCTGCTGCCCCACTCGTGTCTGCTGCCCCACTCGTGTCTGCTGCCCCACTCGTGTCTACTGCCCCACTCGTGTCTGCTGCCCCACTTGTGTCTGCTGCCCCACTCGTGTCTGCTTTCCATGCATGTCTGCTGCTGTCCACTCTCCACTCATTCCTCCTGAACCGCAATTCCTGCCCTTTCCACCTACCCCTCTTCTCAGCCTGCTTCTAGCCTCCTCGATTGCTGCCTCTTCCACTATCACCTTGTTGGCATCGTTCCCGTCCAGCATGTATAGAACTGCCTCCATACAGCTCTCTGGCTTGGACAACTCCAGGGCCAAAGCAAGAGCAAAATCCGTGGCGCCTACTCCACTCACATACATGCCCTTTGGGACGCCATTCGATTGCACATGACCGCCACTGTTGCTGCCCCCATCCTCGCTGCAGTGGCTGCATCTAAACTCCCTCCCTTCCCCACCTCCATGAGCTAGAATCCAAGCAATGCCATCCACATACCTCTCCCACTCACGCCCCTTCAGATTCTCCCTCCACAGCCCATTCTTCCCCCCTCTGCTACCCTTCCCAGCAGCTGCATTATTCGCGTCGCTGCTGCGACTCTCTTCCCCTCTACTCGCCTCGCTGCTATGCCAATTCCCCTCTGCCCCTCCCACCACCAGCATCACCATGTGTCGCAATTAACCGTGCCAGGTCACCCCCCTGCTTCTCCTCCTTTTCCATGCCCCTACCCCTATCCGCCCACCTCGCTATCGGCCTGTCCCTCCTCCCCCTGCGCATCCTCAGCAGATTCCCCCCCAGGTCCTCCCCTCCCCTCCGCGTGCACCTTCTCCAGCCCGCCTGACAGCACATGCTGCACGTAGAACCCAACCCCTTCCTGCAGCTCAGCACTCTCCTTCACCCCGAGCACCTGCACCAGCATGGACGCTAAGCAGTCGGTTTCGAACTGCCTGCCGTTCCCAGTTGCACGACAGCAGTATAAGCGGCGGAGCTTGCAGACAGCGACACCCTTCTCAGGTTCACAACACGCGGGCACCTCGCTACTAGCACGAGGAACGCAGCAAAGCTGACAGCCCGACAGTATGCATCCCAGCGAGCAGCCCAGGTTCCATTAGCAGCAGCAGAACCAGCAGCTGTTGCAGGGGTAGGCGCAGTTGTAGCAGCATCTGTGGCGGCCAGAATGGTAGGCAGGCGAGATCTGATCCTCCCCAGGTCCATGAGCACGCCCACACGAGGCTCAGCCATCCACTCGAGAATCATGGCCTCGGCACAGCGCATGGGCGCCACCACGCACTTGACGCCCAACACCGGCTGAGGCGGCGAACACTCTAGAGGCTTCGTGTGTACCCCTGCAGAATACTCAGCAATGGAGCTGGATGGATGGTTCAAAGGGACAAGCGGGATGGAGTCAGGCGAATGCGCCAGAAGGAGGGAACGGAATCCCGCCAGGCCCACCATGCGAAGTGCGAGCTGTGCGCGGTAGCTGACGGCGCGGTCGAAGCAGCACTCGCACTCCTGTCGGTCCCACGCGTCTCTCACATCCACGTAGTGCAACATGTCTTCCCGCGACAGCACCTGCAGCTTCTCGGATCCCTCGTTAGCCCCTGCTCTCCTGCCGCACCTTCTTTGTTGCCGTGATGCCGTCCCTGATTCGCCCTTTTTGTCGTGGTGAAGCAACTGCGTGGCCACCTTAAATCGGTGTACCGATTTTGTTTCCCACTCCTCGTCGTCGCTGCTGGCCTCCTCGGCCTGAATAGTTTAAGGAGGCACAATCACAGCGGCAGATGCAGCAACAGGCACACCCGATGCATCTTCACTTTATCGTCACATAATTCTCCCCCTACACTCATAACAACTTCTCAATGGTCGTACCCGTCTCGAAATTTGCTTGCTACACTTGAATCGCGCAATAGGTACTACACCACCTGGCCATACCCAATGGAATGAGAATTTGATGGAGAATTACGTGATTTTCTCTCATAGCAGAACTCAGCTAGTGCTGTAAATCAAACCTTGTAAAGTATGTCCGAAGCTGTTGATGGCTCATTGTACGTACGGTCCGTCACTGCTCTGCATCGTTGCATTTTCATGCTTACACGGCCGACGAGAATACCCGACAACAGATTTGACACATTCAAGAGACCGTAAGGTAGTCTATGGTTCTACAACAGAATTTGTGTGGGTAATTGTAGCCTATAAATCGGCACGCAAAGCGATCTGAGGGTGAGGACTCAAGAGAGGTGAAATGTCGGAAATCCCGAAGTGGGATATTTGACAATTCGGCTCCCGAAAATTTTCCGTATGTGACGACTTTGCTCCAAATCATACCCAAACGTAGAGAAGTGTAAAAGAGCCGCTCTAACAGGCACAACATCGCACCTCGCCGCAATAGAAAAGGCTCATCCCATGAATCGCACAGATGCTAAGGCATGAGCAGGTACCTAACCGAACTGGTTTGTTTTTATACAATAGTTGCAACCTGTTATTAGTTGTAAAACATAGTCGCGTGGAAAACAAATAACGAAGCTTGTGATTAAAAGATTCGGCGAAGCCTTGCAGACTTTGGGTGGATGCTGGCTACAAAGCATGGCAGTTCATCATGCGGACGTACAAGTCGACTGGCGACTTGTAAATCATCGGCCAACTGGAGCAGAAACTTATGAACATCAGGATTGGTGAGCAGGAGTCGACGACCGAGTGCTGCAACCATGCTTAGCTTATTCTGGATGAATTGCGGATGGCGGGTGTTGACTACTCAACGGCCTCCTATATTACGCACGTCATCAAGGGTCTTCCGACGAGTTACAATCTGATGTGCCGGCAATACCCAACGCACGTTAGTCGCTCAGCAAGGACACACAGTCGAGTCATATCATCAACGACAAGTTCATGAAGGTGTCCGAAAGGTCCACTGAGCTCCTTTTGCGGGCGAACTACGTCGCCCCAACGAGGCAGCGTCGTCCACAGGGGCAGCGCGGGAAGCCAGCTGGAGGTGGTAGCGGAGGTAGGAGGTTGGTGAAGGACGCCGACCAAACGCACTCGATGCGTGACAAAGGTCGCGGGGGTAGTAGTCGACGGTAGGAGTGCTGGATCTGTGACGATCCCGACCACTTCTCCTTCGTACGTCCCGAAGACGACAACAACATAGACGACGACGACGACGACACCACGGCTGGCATTTCATTTTGTTGGGCTGAGAAAGCCCTTCGGATCTTTTCAAGGCTAAAATTCTAGTAGGAATATTTGTAATTGCGGAAGCGTTGAATGACAAGTGTTGAACCACCTTGCGCTAGTATGTAAAGGCAAGATAGGTCGATTATAGAAAGTAGCATTTTATAAGATTACAAGGAATATGAAGGGATGCAATAACTGTTTTACTGTTGCTGTTGCGGTTCGATATAGTGACGACTCGGGCAACTGCTCAATATCGAGTCAGTTGTTTGTCCTTGCTGTCGTGCTATATTTGTCGAGTCCAAGGTCGCTGACCTTTGACCTTCGCGTAACCTCTGGCTGTTGCTTTTCTGTCAACCTCCTCAGTTATCTCGCCATTGTTGCACTGTATTTCGCCTCGTTTACAGTCTGTTGTTCAGTCTGAAGTTACGACACATAAGAAGCGTTAATCACTTGTTTCCAACACCCCCCTTCACTTCTGGAGTGTCGTTGCTAGCGACGTGGCTTTGTCCAGTCAGCAGCATGCAATACTCGAACTTCTGCTTTCCGAGCTTCTTGGTCAAATAGTCGGCTGCCATCTCAGATGTAGGGCAGTAGGATAGTTCGAGTGTCCCCTTCTCGATCTTGTCTTTCACGAAGAAGTACCGCAGGGCGATGTGCTTTGTCCGGTTCGTGAGCCCATTCTTGTTCGCTATGCGAATTGCGGATTGGTTGTCGCAGAACAGAGAGAAGCTGGGTAACTGGGCCAGCTTCGCTTCTTCCATCAGTTTCGCGAAGATACAGTCCTTCCTTGGTGGCTGACCAGAGCGCAATATATTATGCTTCAGCTGAGAAGAGGGCGATTAGTTCTTGTTTGCTCGACTGCCACGAGATAGGCCCGATAGGCTCGAGTCGGTAGATGTAGCCGGTGCGCGAGCGCCTGTTGTCGGAGTCGCCGGCGCGATCAGCATCCACGTAGCCAATCAACTTAAGCGTCGTAGATCTGGTTTTGTGGTAGGTCAGGCCGATTGTCGGGGTGCTGACGAGGTAGTGAAGTGCACGGCTGAGCTCCGCCGTGTGCTCTGATTCAGGTTTCCTAAGGTAGGTGGTGAGTTGGCTCGCTGACTACGATAGGTCCGGTCTGCAGGTGACGGCTGCAAAGAGCAGTCATCCTAGTTTTTGCTGGTAGTCGCGTATGCCGGCGGGCTTGAGCGGAGCGGAGGTTTCCTTGTGATTTCCGGCGGTGTAGCGGTATGGCGTGGAGATTGTGGCTGGGTTTGGTCCGAAGCGCTTGGCAATGGTGTCGGCGTATTTCGCGGAGCTGAGATAGATCGCGTTCTCCCCTTCTTGTATGTTAAGCCCGAGATACTGTATTATGGTGGATGTTACGGTGAGCATTAGGTCCCGTTGCAGCTCCCCTTCGAACCAGGTTGTGACGCCGTCGGTCGAACCGATGTAGAGCAGATCGTCCGTGTAGATGATAAGCAAGATGTAGTCGGTGCCTTTTGTGAGTTGGTACATGCCCTGGTCGTGCGGTAGTTGGCGGAATCCGATATGGATTAGTCGGGCGTGTAGGTACTGCTGCCACAGCCTTGGAGCTTGCTTGATTCCGTACAGGGACTTCAGCATATGAAAAATTGGGAGGGTCTGCATTGGAGCTGTGCGGTTGTTCGACGAAGATCTCAGCATTGACGAGGCGTAGAGGAAAGCGTTGGCGACGTCGATTTGACGACGTTTCCTCCGCTTCATAGCGGCTATCGCGAGAAGAATCCGCTGTGCCGGCCGACCGGCGCGAATGTTTCAGTGAAGTCTCGTCCGTGCTTTTGGTCGAAGCCGCGTATGACCCAGCGCGCTTAAAATTTGTCGATGGTTCTGTCTGCCTTTGCTTTCACACGAAAAACCCACTTTCCGGTGAGTATTGTCTTGTTGCGTGCCACTCCAATGGGTACGATCTTCCAGGTGTTGCGTTCTTCCAGCGCCTTTAACTCCCTGTCCATGGCTTCGCGCCATTTTTCCCTGTGCTCCCCCACCAGAACCTGCTGAACCGTGGCAGGCTCCTTAGGTGGCGCCGCACCGTGGACCGCGGTGACAAGTCCCAGTATCTGCAGTCCACGCCGTGTGTATCGAGGGAGATTTTCATTCTCGGGATAGACTGCTTTGTCTCCTGCTTCTGCGTTCTGCTTCGTCGGCGTTGACCCTGTCGGGTGTAACGTAACCTTCGTCGTCGAGATTGTAGAAGAATTCAGCATTGATGCTTTCACGAGGATTGTCGTCATCCATCGGTACGTCGACCCAGCAGTATGGGAGAGGTCCGGCTGCTTCCAAGGCTCCGTCCACATTCTGCTCGTCCCAGTCAGCTTCGTCTGCTGCCGAGGCGAAGGCTCGGTCACCATGAAATCCACTTGTGAGGTCTTGTTGTTCTTCCAGGTTGGCAAGATATGACTAAAGGGTGAGTCGCTCGTAGATGATCATGTCACGTGCTGCTACCATTTCCTTTGTATGGACGTCGAGAATCTTCCATGCGTTGTAGTGTTTTTTGATGCCCATGTGCAGTCCCCACTGTGCGCGTTGGGAGAATCGGCCGGCTCGTGCGGCTCGGGGTCGGTACTGTACCATGCAGCCGAACACTCGCAACATTTTTGTGCTGCCCAATTTTCCTGTCCACAGCAGATGCGGTGATGCGTTGTTCGGGAGCGATGATGATGAAAGCAAGTTATGCAGCATCACGGCATGGTCCATTGCTTCGGGCCACTGGTGGTTGGGTAGCCGCATGCCACGTAGTAGCTTGCGCATGGTGTTCAGAAGGGTTCTGTTCATCGTTTCTGCCACGCCTTGCTGTTGATGGGAGTAAGGAAGAGAGATGAGCCGTTTGATGCCTCTTTCTGCTGGGTAGTCTTTGAACCTCTGTGACTGATATTCCCCTCCCCCGTCTGACTGGAAGCTTTTCAGCTTCACTCCTAGTTCCCGTTCTGCTACTGAAAGCCAGGCGACGAAAGCTTTGAAGGCCATGTCGCGGCTCGGAAGGTTGAGATGCCAGACATATCGTCTGGCAGCGTCGATGAACGTGATGACGTAGTTGTAGGCTCCTTGTCTGGGTTCACGATTGTACACCTTTTCCAGTAGTGCGTATAGTGGCGCGCTTGGATTGTGGTGAGAAACGAATGGCTGATGCGGTAATTCGACTTCAGTGCAGGTAAAACATGTTCCGCGGACTCGTTTAAGGTCTCTGCCATCGTGTAGAGGTATTGAGTCTTTGTCAAGTACTCCTGCTATTATCGTATTATTTTACGTTGTGTTCCTCGGGTGTCCCATCCTTGCATGCCAGATGACTTCGCTGGTGCGATGTCCAGGTGAACGTCTGTACAGGACGGAGTTGGAATAAAAAATTGCGGTGAAGTTTGCGCTTCTGTGGACTTCCCGTGAAGTGGGAGTCAGCTGTTGCGCAGGAGTCGGTGGCGTGTCGTTGATCAAGACTGTTGTTGTTGAAGGGCCTGCGATTGTTGGTGGTGTTGTTTTTGCTGCTGCCGGTGTTGTCTCTGCTGCTGCCGATGTTGTTTCTGCTGCTGCCGATGTTGTCTCTGCTACTGCCGATGTTGTCTCTGCTGCTGCCAATGGTGTTTCTACTGTTGCCGATGTTGTCTCTGCTGCTGCCGATGTTGTCTCTGCTGCTGCCGGTTGTTGGATTGTTGCTAACGCTCTCATTCGTTCTGCTTCAGGTATGGTGTTCGAGTACCAAAAACCGCCGGGGCTGAAGTCGGGATCGAGATCCGGCGGGTGTGTCCAGGACATAAAGGTGACGATTCCGTCGCTGTCGGCGGTGCCTTGGTCTGGGACGAAGGCGAGGACGAAGACATTGTTCTTTAACACCGCCTTCCCAATGTAAACTCCGCCCCTCCCTTGGTACAGTTTGAACTCCTGAGTGGTGC